TTTTTTTAAGATTTATTTACTCCTACAGTATTCTCAGTGCTCTACCTGCAGGCCAGATGAGGGCACTAGATCTCATTACAGATAGTTGTGAGCCACCATGTGGTTTCTTTTTTTGTTTGTTTGTTTTGTTTTTGTTTTTGTTTTTTGAGACAGGGTTTTTCTGCGGCTTTGGAGCCTGTCCTGGAACTAGCTCTGTAGACCAGGCTGGTCTCGAACTCACAGAGATCCGCCTGCCTCTGCCTTCCGAGTGCTGGGATTAAAGGCGTGTGACACCATCGCCCGGCTCACCATGTGGTTTCTGGGAATTAACTCAGGACCTTTGGAAAAGCAGGCGGTGCTTTTAACCACTGAACCATTTCTCCAACCCTCTTGGGAATTCTTTACTGCTGCCTTTTCTTCAAAGGCATCTCCCTTCCTTTAACAAATCACAGGCTCTCACCACTCAAAACTGAACTCTTCAACTCCCCTTGCCTGTCTCCTCCAATCACTTTCCCTCTTTGGAGTCAGAGATACCATTAAGCCTTGCTGCCTTACTTTCCACTAAAACATGGCTTTGCCTAAATACAAACTTGACAATCAATTTAATGGCCGGAAAATGAAAAACTCAATTTCCAAATTCTCAGATTGTGACAAGTTCTGCCACTGTACAAGCAAATGATCCAAAAAAAAACCCCTTACCTCTAATGCTTTCAGTTTTGTTCTTGTCCCTCCCTTTGATCACTAGGTTCAGTATTGCAGATAGTCAAATGTATTTTGGATCAGGATAGTATTGTTAAATTGTCACACTTTACCATATTAAAAAGCTGGCTCTAGGGATGGGATTTAGCCTGCCCACTTGAGCCTCAAACATGTTTGGCTAAAAGTTTCCTCCAAAGCCTCTATCTGGGGTCAGGCTGGTACCCTGGCTCTTTGACAGGGAAAGTAAGAACAACAGGATACCCCAGGAAAAAATACCACGTACTTTAGAGCTAAGCAGTAAACTGTTTCCAATGAAGTTACTATTTTTAAGTTTTATTATTATCATCTTTTTGGTTTTTTGAGACAGGGTTTCTCTGTGTAACAGCCCTGGCTATCCTGTAACTTGCTCTGTAGACCAGGCTGGCCTTGAACTCACAGAGATCTTCCTGCACCTCTGCCTCTCCTCCTGAGTGTTGGCATTAAAGGTCTGTGCTACCACACCTGGCTTGAAGTTACTATTTCTTATCTCATGGCAAGATTTGTTTGGAGGGAACACTAGGCTCTAAAATATTTTGAATAAGGGTGGATTTTGGTATAATTATTTTTGTTCTAAGGGCAAAAATAACAGATCAGAAAAAAAACATCATGGACATAGTTCATAGAAAATAGGACTTATAAACAATGTATGTCTGATGATGAAGGTTTATGAAATTCTAAGGTTACAAAACTAACTCAAGCTAGCAAAAACTAACTTAAAGACACATGTCTAATCAGTTATGTCTTTCTTAACTTTGTTAAGCTTTAGCTATTTGGAAAAACTGAATGATTTAAAAAAACTGGTATTATGTAAAATTACACTATAATAGGATCAGGAAAATAAGGTTCTCAGTCCCTCCATAGACAGTATTTTTGGTTTAAAGTTTATTATGATACTAAAGAAGGATCTTTAATTCAAAATTATAAAATTCAAAGCTGAAACTTATCAATGACAAAATCAAAATCTTAATTTTATAAAAGTTACTAACTTACTGTAAATGGTTAAAGATAATGAAGACATCCTAGTTAATGGTCATCTCATAAGTGGTCAAATTCATTAGTGTGCTCAGAACCATGATTGTAGTCACATTAAGTACAAATGTCACTCATTGACAGGAACAAGCTTGTTTCTATCTCTCATTATATAATCTTACGTATACATTGTCAAAGAATAACCAGAAGCAAGTAAATGAAAACCAGTAAAGTCCTTTTAATGTAAAATAATCTTTCAAGTCAAATATATTTTAAAAAAAGAAATTAAAGAGACTAAATAATGGCCCTCAAAGCCCTCATAGAGGTCTGCTGAACTTGGTATTGAAGGTGATTAACGGAAGGGAGAAGCAGGAAAGAGTGGAAAGGGATCTCCATATAGGCAAAAATACTAGCTTCTGGTGGCAGCCCTGGTATACCCCAACAGTCTGAACAGGCCAAAGTCCCCATGATAAATCTTGGGCTATTCTGGCCCCTATCTTTCTTCCACATCTCTCCACTTATCTGTCCTCCTAAAACTACCAAGGCTTTTCCTGCTGGCCACCACTCTCTGCTCCAGTATCCAAATAAGACAGTCCAGCAGTGTGATCCCCTGAAGAAAGTTTTCCTTCCACATACAGAGTGGTTTAGCTCAGTGGCTTCACTGTGCTCTTGCTTACCCTGCTCACCAACTCAGCATCTAAAGCAGCAATTGTATTTTCCTCCTCACATTCCTTTCTCTGTTTAGCTAAACTTTCTCTGCTCTGCTCACCCACTTTTCCTGCAGATTCTTATACTTGTTCTATCTGAGAAAGTCCTAATAAGTTGTGCTCGCTTAAGATTTTCTAAATTTTATTTAAGCGGTAATGTTTTCTTCCCTTCTTCACCCATGCCGGAGTTGGTTGTGGGGATACAGCTATCTTTGAGCCATTTCTATTCTTCTACATAACCTCTCACCCATAATCCTATAAGTAATCCTCAAAAAATTGGTTTACCAATACGGAATTTGGTGGTGTCTGTACTTTTTTCTGTCATGAATTCCCTATCTGTATTGAGCAGACATCCATTCAAGTCTCCCTAGGTATAGCATCATACAACAAGGGGCTCTATCTTTGTAAAAAAAATATATACCCTGCAGTTTCAAAAATACTTTTTTTAGGAAAAACAGTTAATATCTCCATTCTGCCCCAGTGATCCTTCTCTCCCCACTTCCAGATTCTTAACTACAAAATCTCCACCTTGAAGTCATTGAGTGACTGAGTCCTGTGTCCTGATCACACTGAGGTCAGAACTCTAGATGCTAACCTCTCTGAATTAAATAAAGTATGCTCTATCTGATTGAGATTATTTAAATTCTCATTTTATTTCTTCCTACAAACCTAATCCTTACCTATTCTAACACTATAGTTTTCTCATTTCATGATTATAAGACTTCTCTAACAATGAACACATAGCACACTCCAATGAGAATATAGAAATCAGGTATTGGAGTGTTAGAGATAACTAAAGCTAAAATTCTAGGCAGAAAAAAACAGGATAGGCAAAAACCCTAAGATGAAAAGTTTTGAGTAATTAGATTGATTTAGTCAAATGACCTACATTTATACTAACCAGGTAGCTAAGGAAATATTTTGTTAAGAACCTTGAAAGAATTTTTCTGCAGGAGCTCCTTCTGCTCCTTCAGCCAATAGCCTTTAAGATACCAGCCCACTTGTGCATGGTCTCTTTTGCTTAATAAAGCAGCGATAGCCCTGCTCTCTCTCTTGCTTCTGGCTCCCACTTCTGGCTGCTAGACTCTGTTCCTGTTTGCCCAGAGGGCTGTTGTCTAGGACAGTGATCTGTAAGTTTTCCCCTTAAATAAATAACCCTTTTATTAATCATAATTCCAAACTGGTGTGGGATTGTTTTGTGACTTACGCCTTCAGAACTTGACCTCACTGAGATGGGATTTCCTGATGTCTTGATGGCCTGCATCATTTTAAGAAAAAAAATGCAGCTTTAATTAAAATGTATTCTTTCCTGCTCTCATATCCATCCTTCCTTCATTTCAACCATCCCATTCCCCAAGCTCTCCCTAACCCTCCCCTTCTCCCTTCTCTCTCCTCCTTGTCCCTTCCCCCCACCCTGTCCCCATCCCTATGCTCCCAACTTTTGTCTGGTGATCTTCTCTGCTTCCAGTTTACAGTAGGATCTATATATATTTTTCTTTGGGTTCATCTTATTATTTAGCTTCTCTAGGATCACGAACTATAGGCTCAATGTCCTTTGTTTATGGACAGAATCCACTAATGAGTGAGTACATACCATATTTATATTTTTAGGTCTAGGTTATCTAACTTGGGATAATGTTTTCTATTTCCATCTATTTGCATGCAAAATTCAAAATGTCATTGTTTTTTACCACTGAGTAGAGACATTTTGGGGTTGGCAAGAGGCTTGGCTCTAGAGTGGTTCCCAGGTATCCACGGGGATGTCCCCAGCTAGGACCCTGGGCAGTGGATCAGAGGGTGCCTGAATTGGCCTTGTCCCATAGTCACACTAAGGAATATCTTGAATATCACCATAGAACCTTTTATCTGGTGACAGATGGAGATAGAGACAGAGACCTACATCAGAGCACTGGACTGAGCTCCCGAGGTCCAGTTGAAGAGCAGAAAGAGGGAGAATATGAGCAAGGAAGTCAGGACCATGAGGGGTTGGTCCGCCCACTGAGACAGTGTGCCTGATCTAATGGGAGCTCACCAAGGCCAGCTGGACTGGGACTGAATGAGCATGTGATCAAACTGGACTCTCTGAATGTGGCTGACAATGAGGGCTGACTGAGACGCCAATGATAATGGCACTAGGATTTGTCTCTATTACATGTACTGACACTTTGGGATCCTAGTGTATTTGGATGTATATCTTTCTAGACCTGGATGGATGCGGGGGGGGGGTGGTCTTGGATTTCCCACAGGGCAGGGTACCCTGCCTTCTCTTAGGACTGGAAGGTGAGAGGAGAGGGTGAATTGGGGAGTGGGAGGGAAGTGGGAGGAGGGGAGGAAGTGGAAATTTTGAATGGTATTATTTATAAAGCAATAAAAATAAAAAAAACAGAAGTCAGAGAAAAAGTGGCAAACAAAAAAGAAAAAAATGCAGCTTTGCTGTATATACATTTATATTAAACAAGTACCTCTTATAGTCTCTACTTTTAGATGTGATTTTAATAAGCATTCACATAAGCTTTCAAATATTCACCTCTAATTATTTTGTTTTATCAGTCAAAAAAAAATAGGCTTATTACAATGCTTCTCCTCCATGGTTCTCATATAATCTTACCTCTTTAAGAATCTTGAGAAAGACAGACACTCGGCACAGGTGGAAACAGTGAAGTGAGAACTGTTGGAAAGAGACCAAACCTAGACAAGAAAAAAAATTCTGAGTAGCAGGCCACAGACGCCCCTTTGTGCATTATAAATAGGCCACAGATGCCTCTTTGTGCATTATAAATCCTCACCACATTTTGTTTAAATGACGGTATCAGCAGGTACTTCTTGCCCTTCATTATCTAGTGGAGTGCTTGCCCAGATATTGATGACTACATTAACAGGACCTCCAAGCTAACTATGAGGAAAAAACTCAAATGAAAGCACCTAAGTCTGCTGTTTAAGAATTAAGCAGCATAAGGCTTTCTGAAGACACCTTCTATTTTACATGTACAACCTCAGGAACTTGGCAAACTTAGCCATGATGTGCCAACCTTATCAGCTACTCGTAGGCCTTGGGCACAACTTTTTAAATTATATGTTCCAAAGAAACAAAGAATGCTTTTGCCCCTTTCAAAGCCTCAAGTAGACCTGTTCCACCCATAAGAGGCAGCAAATTCCCAGAGTCAAACTCAGACACTAAGACTATAATATGAAGTAGGCAAAATAAACTTCTTTTCCCAAGTTTGCATTCCCATAGAAAGACCTTGGCTGACTCTGCAATCAAGCTTCACAAAAAAAGGGCAAAGTTCCTCAGTCTTTTTCCTGCTTCTAAACATGCTGTTCCCAAAATCATAATATAACTTATCTGCATATGTCACACAACTTTTAAAATTCCACACAGCATAATGCTCTTTAGATCAGTTGCTTTAACCAAAAAAGAAAAAAAAATTAAAATAGAATCTTCTAAGTTCAATGAGTCACTATATCTTTCCCTAAATATCTATAGAACATTAATTAGAGTTTAGAAATAAGAAATGAAGTCAGGCCAGGAGGCGGTGGCTCACGCCTTTAATCCCAGCACTCAGGAGGCAGAGGCAGGAGGATCTCTGTGAGTTCGAGACCAGCCTGGTCTCCAAGAGCTAGTTCCAGGACAGGCTCCAAAGCTATAGAGAAACCCTGTCTCGAAAAACAAAAACAAAACAAAAACAAAAAACAAAAAAACAACAACAACAAAAAAAAAGAAATGAAGTCGGACACTTGAATAAGAAAGTATAAATTTGGATTTAAAAAAGTGTATCATCTTCTTAGAACTAATACGGGTATTTCATAAAATCATTAGTTGGAGTAACACCAAAATGTTCAGAGTGCTCATGACTAGATATCTGAACTGTAGACAATTTAAAATGGATTCAGTGCTGCTCAGAACTTACTCAAATGAACAATGGTGTCTCTCTTCTTATATCTGTATTCAGCTATGTCGTGATAATTGTCTGAAATTACGCAGTGTGAGAGTACTTACATCTGGGGAACTGGAAAAAAATCCCACATATCTGATTTTTCCTTTCCTATAGGAAAGCCAATTGTTTTTTAAATTATTACTTTTTATAGTCTCTAGACTTTCCTCATAAGCACGTATTGCAATTATAATTTGGAGGTTATTTTTAAAGGAAAAATTGAGCCTATTAACTTCTGTGTAAATAATGCTTTTTCCTAAAGTACGATGAAAAAGCCCTTTCTCCTCCATAAAAGAGCCATTATCCATAGGCTTGACCTAAAATTACCCATGCAATCTAAACTCTGGTACTCATAGAAACAAGCAGCATGAAAACACATTTCATCTAAGTAAAGGTTTCAGGGAGAAAACGCACACCATGCATTAGCACATTAAAATTTCAAATAATTGGGAACCACTTACAAAGCGGACCACGTTCTGGGGAAAGGGAAAGGTCTGAACTGCTTGGTGTCTAGGAGCCACACTGTACCCCAAGTTTCACTATTCCTATGCTGTCCAGATTCTCAAGATATCACCCAAGGAGAGATGAACTATTTCATATTCTTCAACTTTATGACTATTTTTGAATGCTAATACTTAAGGTAATTACCCACTAAGCTACTCTCGAGTTTTTCTTCAGAATCTCCCAATGAAGAGATATAAGATAACTGTGCAGTAAGTACAGAAACTTCATTTAAAAAGAGACAATATCCCAGCTATTAGTTATGGATGGGTAAATAAGTTAGCACCGATATCATACCACTTCATGAAGGAACATCTTCCTTTGGCACCAGGTATATATGTGGAAAGCACACACACACACACGCATACAGATCACGCGAACAAATTGAATGAGTAAGTTTTTAAAAAGAATTTTGATTAAGTTACTGTATACTTAGCCAGAAAATTGAAAATAAAAATAAAATCAAGTTCAAACACAGAACCTCTATACACCTGGAAAAAAAAAAACTCAAACAGTAAGTTGAGTTTAAAAAACATACACACAAAGTACTTACCAATCAAGCCCTAGGCTTTGCCACTGTATGAAACAGAGACCGGCCTAAACAGGAAGAAAAAAGAGCATTTGTTATATAGAATAAATGTTCAGTGAAATCTACTTGACACTGATTTTTTTTGTCATATTCCACCAAATCCATTCATCCCTCCGTGTTTCTTTCACGTGAAATCGGAGACACGGGGAGGAGTGTGGATACCTTAGCATTCAGACCACAAATCCTTCCCACAGATGCCCGAATTCACTGACAATTTTTAACAAAGGCTTAAAATGTAGAAATGTATGTTAGAAACCAGCTGACTTACCAGACTGTTCAAAAACCCTACAGTGAAAATAAGCTAAACGACTTTTAGACTCCCAGAATGCTTTACAATATCAGCAACATCTGCAAAAGAAATGGAAGGGTCAAGGTCTGCAGAGTTGGCCTATTTGTTACTTACAATGCTTGTATATGCTACCTGGACATCTATACCAAATATCCACTATGAATGGGATAGACGAAAAAGCTCCCATATCTGCTATCACCCATCTGTTGCATAGGTTCTGTATCTTTCCTTGCTCCCATCTCAGAACTAGAAATGGTTTCACGTTATCTTGCAAATCACATTGTAATACCCTAGAGGTGGTACCTGAGCAGCACTCCCGCACTCTCCTGATTCCTGCAGCTTCTTTTACAGTCCACTCCAGGCAGTTCTTCCACTGTCACCTAGCTTTCCAAAAACAAACAAACAAAAGAAAATTTTTTGATTTAAACCTCAAAGTCCATTCTTGAGAAACGAGAACAGTATGATGTTAATGTGTCTCAGGGGCAGCCACAGAACACAAGAAGGTAAGTAGTAACTGGAAAAGGATGCCTCTGCCTAATTAAAAGAATAGGTCTTAGGATTAGAGATGGCTCACAGGCCTTTACAGAGGACCAGAATTCAGTTCTCAGCACCCCTATCAGGCTGTTCACAATCAACTGTTAATTCCAGCTCCAGAGCATCCAACTACTCTTCTGACCTCCGTGGGCACCTCCACACATGCGCACATAAACAAATCCAAATCTTAGGGGCTAAAACGAATAGGCTGTATGGAATAACTCAGCAACTCTAGAGCAGTGCCTCTGTCACGGCTTGTACTTTGGATCTCTAGAGACTCAAGAAAAGAGTTTTAAGATCCTTTTAGTGATGCTACAGGGAATAGTTCAGAGCTAAATTAAGTCATCTTAAAAACGGGTTCCCATTCTGCCTTCCCTTTACACACCTGTAAGCAGGCCATGAAAGTAGTTTTTCACCATATTTTAAAGAAGGTTCTGCACTAACCTGTAAGAACATTCACGTGTCAATAGGTAGTCAAACATTACCTGGCTGGGACACTGGCACTCTTTCCCAGAGGAACTTCTGAAAGTGGATGGATGGGGAGACAGGAGGCAATCATGCAGAGAAAAAGAGAATAAGGTAAACAGCACATTCTATGTGACTATAAAATCAAAATTACTACACAGATTTTTTGACACTCCCTTCAAAATAAACGTCCCATTTCCTAAACCCTTCATACCTTTTATAAACAAAAGCAAAAAGAAATTTTAAGCCTACCAACAATTCACCATTCTGATTAAAAATCTGGGTGGAGAATACCTGAAAAACAAAGACAGCAGTAAAGGCTGGCAAAATGGCTCAGCAGGAAGTACCACTTGTCACCAAGCCTGCCAACCTGCACTTCATCCTGAGGGGCCCTACATGGTAGGAGGGAGTGACTCCCACAAACTGTTCTCTGACCTCTTACACGTGCCATGGCATACACTTACACAAAACACACACACACACACACACACAAATATTTTTAAAGTGTTCAGTAAAGCCACTTAGCTACAAAAACAATATACATAACTCAACTCCAAATCAAGAATAAAACATGTAGCTGGGCATGGTGACACACACTTTCAATTCCAGCACTCCAGTCAGAAGGAGAGGCAGGATGAATCCCTATGAGTTAAAGCTAATCCTGTCTACATAGCACGTTACAGACCCGTCAGGGCTACAGAGTGGGGCACACTAGATGCTAATAATCTCAGTCCAAAAGAGACCAGTCTGGGCTATATATATATATATACAAAACTGTTTCTTTACAAAAGGGGGGGTGACCAAAACCAACGACTCTGAACAAAGCATAATCTGAAAATGTTGTTAAATTTAATTTAATTATGTTAAACCTACAATTCCATATGCTGACTTTAAAAAGTAATTTTAAATGCCTAAAAGCATTGATATGAGGCCAGGCGGTGGTGGCACACACCTTTAATCCCAGCACTCGGGAGGCAGAGGCAGGCGGATCTCTGTGAGGCCAGTCTGGACTACAAGAGCTAGTTCCAGGACAGGAAACAAAAAGCTACGGAGAAACCCTGTCTCAAAAAATCAAAAAAAATTGATATGAATCCATACATGCACACACACATACCCCACATACACAAATGAACACACACATACAAACAATAAGAAACATAATTTATGTAAATGCCTCACATATTTCTAAGTAAAAACCCATCAGACTAGAGGTACAACTGAATTATAAAATTCTACCACTAAAATATAAATTAATAGAACAGAAACTTTTCTGATTTTTTAAAATCACTGTACGAGAAGACTGATGGCAAAATTAAAACACAAAGTGGCATTAACAAATGAGAGAGACTCATGAAATTCACAGACAACTAGCTATCACATATTAATTATCCTAAATTTTAGATCAATCCCTCAGAGTATGATTTTTTTTTCTTCTTTCCTGTTTGAAAATATGCCAGGGCCGTTACACAGAGAAACTGTGTCTCAAAAAATAAAAAATAACCCCACAAAATAACAAAAAAGAAAAAAATAAGAGCAGCAACCTAAGATCCTGCTCAACCAAGTTGATTCCCTCCCACCTTTTCTGGTTTTTAAGACGATGCTTGGTTATTGAGGCCAGACAGAGCGCAAACTTGTTACATTATACTGTTCCCTCCTCACCCTGGACATGCTTCTTAATAGCCAAGAAAACAAGCATCTCACTGGATTTTCCCACTTTTAATTTGAAAATGCTACCAAACTATAAAACCATACACAAGAAGATCCAAAATCAATAATTAACCAAATAAAATAAAGAAAATTAGGTTGTAATGGTGAGAGCCTAACAATGCAACCCAATTCAGCAGAGTCTCAAAGCATATGACCTTATAAGCCAACCTTATCTTTTAAAAAATTCCTTATTTTTACTTGTATAGGTGTTTTGTCTGCTTGTCTATATATACCATGCATTTAGTACCCACAGAGGCCTGAAGGGGACAAGCAATTCCTTGGGACTGGCGTTACAATCAGTCTGTGTACCCCATACCTTCAGTACCCACCAGAGGCCAGAAGGGAGCAACATATCCCTTGTGACTGAAGTTGTGGCCAGTTAGCCACCCTGTGGGTGCTGGGAATCAAGCCTGGGTTCTTCTATGAGCACTCAGCAGTGCTTAACCTGAGACACCCTCTTCCCCGCACCATCTACATACTTTATTATATTTTTTGAGACTGAGTCTCGTGTAGTTCAGGCTGGCCTTGCACTCACCACGTAGGTGAGGATGCCCTTAAAACCTCTGTTTAACACTTTTGCCAGCACCTTTCAAAGGCTGGGATTCTGGGCATTCCCGCTTTAAGCATTAGGAGTTCAACCTAATGGCTAGCCTGTCTCCTAGCCATTAAAAAGAAAAAATTAGAAAAGAGGCAGTGGTGGCACGTACCTCTAATCCCAGCATCTGGGAGGCAGAGGCAGGTGGATCTCTGAGTTTGAGGCCAGCCTGGTCTATAGAGTGAGTTACAATACAGCCAAGAACACAGAGAACCCTATCTCAGAAAAAAAAGGGGGGGGTGGCGGCTACAGAGAAACCCTATCTCAAAAAAAAATGTTTTTAAATGAGTAAAGTGGGCTTCATTATATTTTCTCACATATAAACTCTTACAAAAAATATACATTACTATTCTCCTACATAACTGAACTTTTAGTATTACCAAAGTATATTATTCGAGGTAGACATTTACAAAGCACATACGAAGCCTAGCAGTGACACCTTTAGTCCCAGCACTCGGGAGGCAGAGGCACGTGGATCTCTGTGAGTTCGAGTCCAGCCTGGTCTATAGAGCTAGTTCCACGACAGTTAGGGCTGTTAAACAGAGAAACCTTCTCTCAAAAAACTAAAAAAAAAAAAAAAAAAAACACATAAATAAGCACATACTACATATGACTAGGAGATAAACATTATATATAAATTATATGTATAAAATATAACCCATGAGAATTAAAATAAACCTTAAAACTGCTTCTAGACGCCGCTCCTATCGAGGCTTCCTGGTCGGTTGATGCTCCGGGTCCGCGCTCCTGGTCTCGGCGATCCCGGCTCACGGCTTCTGGAAGCTTCTCCGACTCAAGATTCCGCTTCACCACTCCTTGTCACCTTTCTGTCGACTTGCTGTCCCGTGTTTGCCTCAGGGGCTTACTACCCCCTCAGCTTTCTGGAACAAAGAGCGTCCCGAACACCACACTCCAAAAGCGAGGACAAAATGGGGGACTCGCTGCGTGCGCATCCGCTTTTATAGACAGTTTATGGCCCCACCTCCACAGATCTTGATTGGTTGTGGCTAAGATGATTGACAGAGATAACGTCTAATCACATGTTCTCTTTAATAGAGAACCTGCTTAATATAGATACTTACTCCTCATTGGTAAAAAGTGTTTGCATTTAAATCCATCTGACTGCTGCCGCTCTAAGAATTGTGGGAAAAGCAAAGTGAAACCCACTGTGAGGTAATTCATGTTCCATACGCTGATTGGTTCTCGCCAAATTAAAAAACCCCACGAGGCGCGCTCTCGCTCGAGATGACTTCATGTTATTGTCTTTTACAGAGAGTTCTTTCCCGGCCGTTTCTGCCTTTAGCCGTTACAATTGCGCCAGATGCCTGACTCCTTTCCCCGTTTTCTGCCTTAGCCGTTACTATCACACCAGCTGCCTGGCCGTGACTGGTTTGGGGGGAGCAGGAGTACTGAGGGACAAGTAATGGAACTTGAGACCACTGGAAAAAAGATCCCCAGACTTATTACAGTTTATAATTACCAAACTTAATAATAACTGCTCGCACGGCCACGGACTCTAAGGCAAATCAGAGGCACGCCTTACCTAAGTGGGTGGAGGAAAGGTTGTGGGGTTTTGGGTATTCATTTATTTATTATTCCCCCCCCCAGACACGGTTTCTCTGTAGCTTTGGAGCCTGTCCTGGAAGTCGCTCTGTTGGCCAGGCTGGCCTCAAACTCATAGAGATCCACTTGCCTCTGCCTCCTGAGTGCTGGAATTAAAGGCGTGGTTTTTCAAAATGAAAAGCATAATTACTCCACCATGGCAGAATTTACAGCTATGTGAGGAACTGCCTTGCCCCCCCCATATGACTAACTGCTTCACTCACTTGCTCTGCCTATAGTGATAAATGAGTTTATAGAAGTCAGAGGTTAATCATTTCACCACAGGTACATAATTCTGAAGGTTGGGATTTTTAATAATTTAGGTCAGGGTCCCACAGCTACTAAAGTGGTTGCTTGGAGTAATTATCTGTCCTGTCCCTTTAAGAGACAAGTCATGCCCCCACCCCCACCCCTGTCTGTGGAGGCAAGCTGATCTTCTGCTTCTGAGCCCTTCCCTTTTATGTTTTTCTCCCAGAGAGGTAGCTGCTGGTGTGGCTCTGCTCCTCCCCTCCCCTGGCTGTTTCTCTCTCTCTCTCTCTCTCTCTCTCTCTCTCTCTCTCTCTCTCTCTCTCTCTCCTCTCTCTCTCTTTCTCTCTCGCTCTCTCTCTGCCTCTCTCTCTTTCTCTCTCTGCCTTTCTCTCTGCTCTTCTCCCCTTCTCTCCTTTCCCTTCCATAATACACTAAATAAATATACAAAAGCTCACTATCCTCGTGGAACTCTCTTGCTGTCCCTTGCGGCCACTTAGGGAACTTTGAAGTTCCTGCCTGGGACTGGCTGCTCTCGGGACCCACTGCCTGCTGCCTGCCACCACTTCGGGAGACCTGTGGCATGATCTCATAGCTCATTACCTGTTACAGCCACTTGGGGATCCGCAGGATTTTACTTTTACCATTATACCTGGTATAAAATGAAGTTTGCTCACCATCACTTCAGTGAGCAGTCTGCTGGATGTTGTGGATGTTACAAAATTCTGTGTAGCCCAAGGTAAAAAAAAAAAAATCAGTAAATGTGTCCCTGGCCAGAAGTTGTGGCACACACCTTTAATTCCAGCACTTTGGAGGCAGAGGCAGAAAGATCTCTATGAGTTCAAGGCCAGCCTGGTCTACAGAGTAAGTTCTAAGACAGCTAGAGCTATTACACAGAGAAACCCTGTCTCAAAAAACTGAAACAAACAAACGAATAAACAAAACCAGATAGAAAGCTTGGTTTAAAAAAATTCAAAAATCCCCTGGACCCTGGACTGTTCAGAACCAGAAATTTAACTTATAAAATAATAAATAATGTTTCATATGAACTGTAAGAAACTGCCACAACTAGAAACTTGAGGGGTGGAGTGTGGAATTAAGTGAGAGAATTAGACTAACGCATCTCTACAGTTTTGGGGTATAGTGTGCTCACTAAGGTATGCTGATTCAGTTCTTTTTTTTTTGTTTAACCCTTTCAAAAACCTTCAGCGTGAGAGAAGATTAATTATAGAATTTTGTCAGTTTTGAACAGAACTGCTATAAACATCCATGCACATAAGCATCCTTATCAACAGCACTATAGATAGTACCAGGGATCCATTTTTTGAAAAAGCCTCCTAAGTGATATAACTAGAGTTGAGAGGGGTGGAAATGGCCTGGCTGTAGCACTCCTAACAGGGTCATCTCAGCCATCCATCCTAATAGATCAATTAAAGAGACAATGATTGCTGAAATGAAGAGAGATTTTTAATCAGTGTGCACTGGGGAGAGGAAAAGACAGGCTTATGGTTTAAACACAGAAATTAGAGGAGAGTGAGACATATGCATAACAAGCACATCTAGATAAGGTGTGTTCCCACATATGTACATGCACAGATACACAGGCACACATTTATACACACACACCCCCACACACCAATGAAAATAATAAATAATCAACAAAAAATAAAATTATGCCTATAGGGATGCTCAGACAATAAAGTGATTACAAAGCAAAAAGACCTGGAACTGGTTTAGCAGGTGAGAGCATTGTATGTTCTTCAGAGGACCCTAGTTCAATTCCCAGCACCAACATGTATTGGCAGGAGGCTGTTAGTTCGTTCCCAGTTTCTCAGCCCCTAAATAATCACATAGAAATTATATTAATTAAATTACTATTTGTTATATTAGCTTATGTGTATTTCTAGCTAGCTCTTATAATTTAAATTAATCCATTTCTATTAATCTGTGTATTGCCACAAGGTTGTGGCCTACCTGCAAAGTTTTGGTGGACTCTAGAGGAGGCATCTTTCCCTGGCAGCGGCTAAAGCTTCTCCTTGACTCTGCCTTCTTTTACCCAGCATTCCATTTAGTTTTCCCCGCCTAGCTCTATTCTGCCCTATCACAGACCAAAACAGCTTCTTTATTCATTAACCAATAAAGCAACACATATGCAAAAGGACTTCCACACTAAACACTGTAGCTTACCACCATATGTAAACTCCAGTTCCAGGTGATCTAGTGCACTTTGCAGCTACCAGGCACAGACAGATACACATCCAGGCAAAACACCCATAGAAATAAGAAAAGATAATATGAGATGAAAATAATTTAATTTTAAAAACACAGCACAAGGGCCTGAGTTTGAACTCTAATACTAACATAAAAATACATAGTAGTTCACATTTGAAATCTTAATATTAGGAAGACAGAGAGTAGTGGATCACTGAGACTGTCAGGTTAGCTACTCTAGCCAAATCAGAGAGCTCTGGGATAATGAGAGAAAATATGTGAACGAACAAGGTAGATGGCTCTAGTGGAATGACACCTGAATTTGACCTCTGGCCACCATGTGGGTGTATACACAAACATGTGTACCCCCAGCATACTCATACACAAAAAGTAAAATTAAGAAAGCAATGATATTCACACAAAGAATCTCAAAGAATAACCAAAAAAAAAGATTTTTTAGGAAAAACTGAAATTCAAAGTTTATACTCTGATAAATACCACAAAATATAATATATATACATATATATACATTACACACATATGTATATATATATATATAAGATACACACACATATGAGTGAATCCTATGGAAGCTGAAAGTATGTTAGAGCCTGAGGGAATAGTGAGCACAAAGAAATCAACAGGGATAGTACACATTAGATCTCACAGAGACTGAGGCAGCATGCACAGGGCCTCCATGTGTCTGCATCAGATGGCATCTCAATGCTAAAAGAACATGCCTCCAATCCCTAACACAGAAATTATCTCCAATTGAGAACTACTTGCAACTGAAAATTAGTTTTCTTCAATGGAGGTCTCACTATTCTTTTGAGTAGGCTGCATGTCCAACAGTAGATGGCCAACAGAAAATGAGCTCAAGGGCATATTCATAGGGTCTTTGTTTTATAATGTTATGTCATGGCTTCTCTTTCTCCTTTAAAATTTTTCTCTTATTTTTTATTTTATTTATATATTTTTCATATGTTTCTCTCTTTTTGCCTTATAGGTCCTTTGCATATATATTCTGGCTCCCAGTTTAGTGTTTTGATTGGATTCCTGAGTACAGGGATTCTTGATTGTACAAATGGGTAGATCTCTGTGTCCCTTCCTAAATCTATAATTTACTATTACATTGATGATATTTTGCTGTTTTAAATGTAGATACTTTAGAAAGAATGTTTGAAAAAGTAAAGAAATATTTGACTAAATGCGGATTACAAATTGCTCCTGAAAAATACAGAGAGGAGATTCTGTTAATTACCTAGGTTATAAAATAGGTTTACAGAAAATTAGAACACAAAAAGCACAAATTAGGATACTTAATGACTTTCAAAGATTGCTAGGAGACATTTCAAATATCACTGTCGGGATAACACCTGATCTAATAATTTATTTAAATAAAACTTTAGGTGTTGACAAAGACTTAAACAGTCCCAGGGAATTAACAGCTGAAGCTGAGAAAGAGTTAACTTTGATTGAAGAGAAATTATAGGAGGCACATGTGGATCAGTTAGAAACAAATCTTTATTGCATTCTAGTCATATTGCCTTCCAGAATTTCCTCTACAGGAATTTTAATGCAGAGGGAAGATATTATTTTAGAATAGAACTTTTTAGCACATAAACCAAGTGAAAGATTAAACCCTCATTAAAATAATAGAAATGGGTTAACCAAAG